AATTATAAACTAATAGAACTAGGCTTCGAAAAACCAAAGCAATACTAAGGTAATTAGTAAAGTGTTTTCCAAACCTGGCAGTTGTGAAGTGCGTGGAACACTTCCACCAATATATGGATGGACAATATAGACATTTTTAATCTGGATAGATTATGCAACCGTTAAGTGGCTGATACAGTTCAAGAACCGGGAGGGTCAAATAGTCGGATGAATTGAACGACTTTATGAGTATACTTTTAAGATCGAACATCGCTTCACTTTCTAGAAGATCGTGCCTTGCATAGGGCTCTTACTGCATTAGAGCAGAAACCAAAGAAACTGCACTACTCAGAACAACTGTCTGCATCTCTTAGTATCGAGGGAATGTATCCAGTTACTCTGGGTATCTGGACATTGCAATTTTGCTGGAAATAAAGAAGGTGATGAATACGTTAGAAGCTGTAACAATCCAGATCTTGCACCAATAACTGGATTGTCGTGATATACGTTCAATTAATATCAGGATCAGAGATATATTACTAGAAGAATGGTTTAATAAAACCGGGCCACATCAGTCCAAGCTTCTCATTAAGAGCTATTCTGGAAGCTAAACAGAATTATCATCCGGATTTATTCCAGGTTATGTTCGTCTCAACAAACGTCTTAAAATCATTGGCTTAAGCATCACTGAAAGGTGGTCCTTCTACGTATTCTGTGTGACGAAGATACTATCAAGATTTTCTCTCAATGTGCTCGTCTCAGGTTATAGAGGCGTTGGCTAACAGCTCTTCTGACTGCTAGGATATTAGGTTAGGTTAAAAATGAGCTGGATTATATCATCGCCTTTCACTGCAATCCAAGATGATCTATTGTGGCTCATGCTTGAGTTATAGTTCATTATACAAACCTCATCTTTTGATGAAGGGTATGGTTAAGTTAAGTGAGACTTGGGTGAAGCTAAATACCTAAAACCTAATGCTTTTCAAAACGGAGTTGGTATGTAGAATTTCTCTGCAGTAAATTTGAAGAGATATAGATTAATCAACTCTACCGCCACCAAATCTATAGTAATAATTTCTGCTTAGAAGATTGTAGCAATACTGACCAGGTTTACTCATTGATTGTTAGGCGAATACTTCTGCTTCTACTCTGTACGTTCCCGCAAGTAGAAAAATAAGACTGTATGTCTTTCAAAATTGTTCTATTAAATATCAGTTAAAAAATGAATAAAAAAGAATAAAAAGTTTATGAAAAAACGCTTGAGACCAAATCACTTACCCAAACTACATCTAGGGGGGTGACGTGAGAGCTCTCTATTCCGGTATCCAAGGGATGATCCAGGCTTTTTTCTACCACAGGTTTTGTTCTGATTTTACTGATAAGAACGAACGGTTTTGAAGCACACATTTAACTTTACCGGTCTTCCAAACGGTTTATTTCGTACTGACCTTCTCAAAGGACTTTTCATCGTACGAGTCTACAATCGTGAGTCGGTCTCAAAAATTCGCGCAAATATATTTTAATCAAACACATCCCAAAATGTCTTTGATTTGAATCTACTAATAGGCAACTCAAATTACAAGTGACATTAATGAGGCTGTTTAATAAATTACCTATCGAAATGATAAATAAAGATTTAAAATGATTAGGATTCAACATACGCCTTTTTCAGTCATAGAGCTATAGAGTCGTCCATGTACACTGCTTAGTCCGTCATCCGATATATTAGGAATGCCTCAAGAGAATCGGTACGAATCGGTGCTAGCGAGTAGCATCGGTTTATTTTAAATCACAATCTGCACAATAAAATAGTATATTATGCAACGATCATGTAATGATGGTTATTAATACACGAGCATTAACCGGGATACGAAACGAGCCAAAGGCGAGTTTCGTATGGTTTATGCGAGTGTTTTAATAACCATTACATGAGAGTTGCATACGCTATTTTTTCTACACCCGATAAATAATCAAGACCTATAAATATTCTATTTATATTGGCATTGAACACAATAACAGTAATTACTCGTATTTCTATAAAAAATTCTACAAAATTGTAATTAATGGTATTACCTTGGGTATTGGTATTACCACAGATTTTTGGGGCAAAATATTTTGTACTGCATTTTCTCCTTTCTCCGATATGTGTGGAGGAGTCTTCTATATCGCTGATATCAGACATTTTAATATTATAATTATCGAAGTTTAGCTATCTACGAAAATTTAATACGTTTTGACAACTAAAACAATTACATAGGAATTTAGGACAAACGTCAAACATCATGCTTGATTGAAAAATGGTAGGTTTCTATTGATTAAAAATCTGTATCATAATGAAAAATCTGTATCATAATGGATATCATTATGAAACGGATTATGGGCATATAAGTGCATTATTATAATACGGGTGTAGAAAAAAAATATTTCACAATTGATTATTATTGCTGGCTAATACCTACATTATATGGTATTGTTTTTAAATTGTAAATATTAAATATAGGTTTATTTTGTAGGAAATGATGAAACGAAATTTACTATCCAATAATTCGCGGTTGCTAAAATACCACGATAATTTTTGATAAAAATGTTTACGACTCCATAAATATATCACCCCAAGTCTCGTATGAAATCATCATAAAAACAGGTCAAAATCACCTGATAGACGTTGGTTTTTTTAAAGTTATAAACATTACGAACATGAACGACATGAACCACGTAAATATAAACGTTATCTCTACGTATCGCTCTAGAAACATATAAATGAGTAACGTTGTATTGCTTTTGTTCATTGTAACTTGTTAGGATAGATAATGGCAATGCCAGCTGATGGTTGGTAAAGGTTGAAAGATATGAAAAAGTTGGCAATCATAAACAAACATTTGTTGTTAAATTATCGAAGATTTTAATAATAGGGGAAAGATTGTGGATCCTTTTAAATGCAATCAGGTTTTGGTGATGTAATTATAAACAAATGAAAATAAATAAATCAAAAAATATATATTTTTATTTATTTATTTATTTTTATTCTAATTTAAAAATTATATTTCTTAATTTTTTTTTCAATTTATAATAAAAAAATAATTTTTTCTACGATAACTATCTAAAGTAGGCTTCTGCACATTCAAATCTAACTGGAAAGTGAATTGTCATAGTTTGACATTATTGTCGCGCATAGGCGGAAAGTTAGTTTTTGCACATGCCTATTTTCATTAGAAAGGTTGTTATTATAGAGCTAATCAGTATTTTAAAAGAAAATGCAGACTAATCTGAATCTTTTAGTTGAACATTTAATACTCAGATTAATTTTCTTTAATATTTAAATGATAATTAAAATATTAAAAATAAATTACCCTGTTTTTAACACTCATATTTAACATGTCTTGTTGGTGTAGAGCCTAGCGCGTTCGTCTTTAAACCTAATGGCCGTGAGTTCAATCCTCTCCGGTTATTTTTTTTTAATTTTATTTTTATTTGTAAAATTAAAACTTTTAAAACAGTGGATAAGCCGTCAATTTGCGATTAAGAGTATTCTAACCGATCTTGGAAATTATTTTTTAGATGTCCTTACTATACTCGGACAAAATATTGAAGAAGGTGATTCCTCCCTGTTCGCGTACAACAATCATACTATACCAGAGCATAATGAATGGAATCAAGCGCTTAAAACTGCAGAGTTATCGGTATCACGTGCCAACTAGTCATAAATGCATGTTTATTGCCAAAATGTATTACGTCAGTGGCGTATAAAAACTATTGGAAAATTAAATGCCGTAATAGTAAATAATATTAGATGAAAGTAGGTTGGTTATCACTGGAATCGTCTTTATCGTCGGAACTTAAAGTTATGACTAAAGGTTCAACTACCGTTTCGATCATACCGACCAAGCGCCACATATAATTTTCTTCCTTAATTACATGGGAAATGGCATTCTGCCAATCTTCAGGTTTTATACGTTCTATACCGGTTTTTAATAAACTTTGAACGTCGGCTATTTTAAAAGTTTTATTTTCTCGAGCTACAAACCCTTTCACTTGCGCCCAAATTAGTTCAATAGGATTGAATTCGCAGTGATAAGGGGGAAGTCTTAGTACCGTAATACCACGATCACGACAACATATTGAATATATTTATGGCGGTGTTCCTTTATTAGGTCCATTAATTCCACTTTAAGCATCTCCTCATTAAATGTTATTGCTTTATCCCGCAGCTAGGTTTGCATATCCTACTGGACATTATCGGAATGCGTTCAACTCGTCGACTGTGATAAGAAGCTTTATCTAGTACAATAACTCTAGTACACGCTGTAATACTTCAGTAAACCATTTTTCAAAGCATTCCGCATTCATGTAGTCTCCTGTTTTTTTCGATATAAACACAAGAGCGTTATTTTCCAAAAATCCACTGTCACTTCCGATATGGGTAACAATTAGGCGCTGTCCTTTACCTGATGGTGCTTTCAAACCTGTAGATAATCCCTCTAGAAAAGCTTGACGATGACTAGTTACAGAAGTATCTTGCCATATCTTAAATACCGTGTGTCCAGGCATTCACCCACGTTTCATCGAAATAGTATCTTTTTTTTAGCGGCTCTAAACTATTTAATATTTCGTAAATAACGCCGTCGCCAGAACACTATATCTGACCTCTCAATTAAAATTGATTTCCTACACCGTTTGACAAAACGAAATTTTAGGCCCCATGCACCAGCAAGAACACATTCAGCCGATCTTAAACTAGCAAATTTTGAGAAACCTATCTTTTCAAATGGGTACTTTTCTCGAAACAGTTGATAAATTTCGGTAAGGTTACCTAAAATTAAACGTTTTTGTTTCTGTACACGTTGACCATTCTCACACACAGATTTATAATCTTTTTTGCCAGATAATTCTCTACTGATATCTTGACTTCTGAAAAATTCTTGGACTCTTTCTTCTGTAGTCTTCAATAGTGGATGACCTTTATTGGAATCAGGAATAAACAGAATACCATCTTGTTTTACTTTCTGTTTCACTTTTCTTACCATGTAAGAAGATGCTCCAAAGGTATTTACAATTTTTTCTATAGACCAACTTGATGGAAGAACAGATAAAATTTGTAATTTTTCACTCCATTTACTAGTATTATCAAATTTATGTTTTAATTCTTCTACTATTTCTCTTCTAGTTAGTTCTGGATCATCGTCAATCGTCGAATTACTATCTTTAGCTGAATCGAAAACATCTGTTACATGTTCAAAGCATGATTGTATCTTAGATTTCATGTCATGTAATTCCTTCCAAGCATAAGTTTTCGATCGATCTATATCTTTTTTATTAATCGGAGATAAATTTAATGTTTTTGAAACAGTATTTAGACGTTCAAAGTGAATATCTTGTAGAGCGAAAGTTTCACTAGTTGAGCTATAAACTTCAGATGTTGATGTTGTAGTATTCGATAAAAACAATTTTTCAGATAAATTAGATGACATTTTTTCCTACATCTCAAGTGAGCTTTGAATGACTACTGAGGTCTCCAATGCGTTGACTGTAAACATTTCAGATGAATCAAGATCAAAATTTTTTGAAATCGCTTTAACGAATCCACTTTCTTCAACTTTGACAGTTTGTTTAACTACTTTTGAATCAATTTCCTGTTTTTTTTTTTAATCACTATTGATTTTTTTTAAACAGGTTATACATAGTTTAGTGCCAGGAATAATGGGCAAACTAAGCTTACACAGATTGTAAAGCTCAAAAGAAACCACTTTTAATGATTTAAATACTTATGAATTTTATACGGATCAATACAAACTCTTTGATTCAAAATGTAATGTTCACGAAATTGCTTGTTATGTTTAGCACAAATGAAATTCACAACGGTACCACTTATAGCATTTAGAGAAATGCGGTCTTTATTTGAAAAAGACTTGCAGTCTATTAGATCATCTTCGGAGCACATTTCTTTACTAGATATATCGATTGAACACTGTCTCTTCTTCTCCATAACGAATTTTAATTTTATTCTGTTATTATCTCAGAAATTCAGATTCACGAACAGACTCAGTTATTTTATGTTGTTGACGATTAGATACAACAAGTTTGATCTTTATAATAGTAATAATAATCATAAGAAATAGGGCCCTCTAGTGGGCTCTATCGATAGTAGTGATATCACTGATGGGAACATAGATGGCAGAGTGTGACACTTTTAACATTATTTAAGTTTTGATTTAAAGTTAAATCTATAATAAATTTTGAGATATTTATGGTTTTACATCCCATTACCATAAGAAAAATATTTTAGACCTCAAATTTCGGTAATCATGTGGTAGAATAATAATATTCAACAAAAAAAGTTGAAAAAATAGAAAAAACTATTTTGCCAAAATTCAAAAATTCATATCTTTGAAACGAAGAAGAACACCCCTCTGAAAATTTCAGAATTTCTTTAGATATGTTAGAGGTATAATACAAAAAATTTTCCCGCGATGGTTACTTTTCACGACTTTGAAAAATTCAAAATTTTTTAATTTTGATAATTTTCAAACTTTTTTTTCAAAAAAATTGTTTTCTCATACCTCTAAGTGTCCTCTGAAAATGCACCAGAGTTTTTTTTAATATTCAGTAGTTTCTAAAATATTAAATAACTAAACTCATAAAATCGGAAAAACAGTGAAATTTTTAATTTTGAATATCTCTTAGGAAAAATGTTTTAAAATTTTTTTTAGTAGAACTTCGTTTTATGATGAGACAAAACTCTCCACCAAAATTTATCCGAATCGGTGGGGGTCGCGTCCAACTATTTGCCGATTTGACATGGAATGACTCCTATATAATTCAAAATGTCCATAACACCTGAAGGAGATGCAATAGGAAAAAACATATTTACAGTGCAGCTGAATTAATGTGTTAAGTTTAATATGTTTAACGTTTTGAAAATATTTTAAAAACAATTTACAAAGGGCCCTGTCTGCATATTTTCTGGCTAATAATATTTAGAAAGTTCCGCATTTAATTCTAACTCTTTAGCACATCTATGGACAATTACGATTTTATACTCACAACTAGACCTCCCAAGCAAAATTACAGACTAGAGACCAGCGACCAGCTGTCTGACTTCAAGATTTACCGTTAAAATTATCGTCAGTCTGAATTACGTTACAAGGAAAATTATTAATGCTTTTAAACATTGACGACTAAAAACGTTGTCCTTAATACACAGAAGTGAAAGGATGTATGTATTTGTGGTATTCATATTATCATTGTTAATTATTTTCATGTAAATTGATAAGTAAATAGTTATAGCAACAAACTTGTCGTGTACTTTTCCTTTTCTTCTTTTTCTTCAATTTTATTTTACAAAGATATATCGAAAATGTTTCGTAATAAAAATTAGAAATTATTATTTATTTATTAACGTACTGTCATACGAAGGGGGCATCCAAAAGCGGCTCCCGGGGATCCCAGGGTATCCCAGGGTATCTACAATCCTCCCTGTCTTTACACCCTAATATAACATCATCAAATATACAGGGTGAAACTTTAGTTGATACTTGCTTTTATCTGTGTATTGAAGTCGTTAAAATAAACGTCATTTCAAAAAATCCAAAAATAAGCAGAGGACGTACTGCAAAAAAAAATGTAAATAAATGTTATTCGGAATAAGGAAATCGGATTAGGAAACCGGAATAAGGAGAGGAAACTTTTGTGTGCTATTTCAAATATCGATTTACAAAATATTTTGAAAATTTTGATTTCTGGTAGAAGCAGAAGATACATTACCATCAAAAAATCGTCAGTTACTATTAATAATATTTTTGATCAAGTTATTACTCCTTTTATTATTGGATGGGACTTTAGTGCGCATCATGCTGCTTGGGGTTTTATAAAAATGATGCTCTTGGATTAAAACTTGTTAATGCTATCCAAGATTCCGACATTGTGATATTGAATAATGATGCTTGATAGGACATAATTCTGAAAACTCTAGTATTGATTCAACTTTTTGTTCCCCAGACATAGCAAACAAAATCTACTGGTCTGTCTTTCCAGATATCCTGGGATCAAATCACCTTGTATTATATGTTGAATGTCAGGTAGATTTTTTCCAAGGGATATAATCTTCCCCAAAAATAAGTAGAATAGTAAAAAAGCTAACTGGTCCTTATATTCCGATGTAATTGAACGTAATTTTAATAATAATTTTTGTCCAGCCTACAATACATATGAGAAATATAATTTTTTCATAAATACAATTAATATTGCAGCCGAACAGGCTGTTCCACAACTTAAACCGTTTAAAAACAAAAAACACTCTCCAGCCCCATGGTGGGATTCTGAGGTTAATTTCAGAACAACAAAATGCTCTTAAAATTTGCAAAAATAATTCCACTATCTCCAACTATGTCCAATAACAAGAAAATATGGCTAAGACAAAAAAGGAGTTAAAAAATAAATCAAGAAAAAACTGGATTAGCTCTGGATATCATCACCGTCTGCTCTACTTTGGCAACGGGCAAGAAAAATGAATAGAACTTGTTCATATAAATCTTCAACTTGCAATGCCAATTGGATCGATCCTTTTTTTAATAAAATCGCGCCACCATCGGCTATTTACCCTATCAACTATACAGAACATTATAATCCAGTAAATCACTTTCTTTTAAAACCAATTTTAAAAAGTGGAAATGATCCAAATTTGGCCCAATCATACCGGCCAATCTCACTACTGTCTTGTATGTTTAAAACTTTGGAGCGCATGATCAAGACTAAAGAAAAATTATTCCCAAGTAATCAATTTGTTTACAGAAAAGGATATGGAACTATGGATACTCTCTCTACTCTGACAACAGACATTCAGAACAATTTTTCCCGAAATAAATATTTATCTACCCTTTTCATAGATATAGAAGGTGCCTACGATCTATCAATATTTAAGATTAAAAAGATTGATGAGTTCAAAATTCCTTTTTCGATTGCTAATATCATTATAAAATTTTATTTTAGCAGGTGTATACATATATGTAAGAGACCATGAAAATAAGCTCGTAGGGCCTCGTTACACCAGTATTGGTCTAACACAGGGATCTGTTTTGAGTCCCTTATTTTTTAATATTTATACGGCCAGTTTACATAAAATTCGTTTGATTAATATACCATTCAGTCATCCAATATGCAGACGATATATGTATCTACATGAAACAAAAGAAATATGACTCTTTCCTTACATCCTTATTGTAAATCCTTCCGTTGTATTATTATAAATTATTGACTGAAATAACCGAATTTATAATAAATAACATTAATATTATTTTTGTTTGCAGGTAAGGACACATTTTGAATTGACACCTTGATATTACATATTATTTTGGTAAGTAAATAAATTAAAGTATACACAAAAAAAGTTATTTTTTAAATAGTAGCTGACCACGTTCAGTTTGCTATCAAATTATATTTTATTTAGCTTAATGACCAACGGAGTTAACGAACAGCGTCAGCTTCGCCAGCTGGTTAACTTACTGTGTTGATCTTTATATTTTTATTTAGCTTGATTCTATCCTAGATATATTCGTTCAGTACTAGCGCTAGTTGCGGATAATTCGTGCATTTTAGGGCGATATTGTGTAATTTTGGCGTATTAAATATACGTATATATTTTACTTATTTTTAAGAAAATACAGTTAAAAGCAATACAATGAGCAACCGTAATTGCTGTGTTATAAATTGTAAAAATACTAGCAAAAAAACAGTGTAGGTATTTTATAAATGTTCAGTAGCAAAATGGAAATTAAATCAAAGAAATATACGTATCTATAATTGCAGTAAAAAGGGAAAAGTAATTACAAACCTTTTTTGTAAAAGGAGTATCTAATACCTATTGAAAATACTAGACATCAGAAAACTGTAAGGTTTTATATGCTTAAATTACATGTTCAAAATCGAAATATTTCTGCCTTTGATTCTGATTATTGTCTGTATCTGGAATGCAACTTTGTGAGTGACTAATTGAAAAACAGTTATTTAATAATTAATTCTATGTTTTCTTTCGAACTAACAATAACGAAAACAAGTTCAAATTACATTCGAAAATATTACAATATTACAACTATTTTTTGGGATTAAATTTTGAACACACGTTTGACATTAACCTTCAACTTCATTAGGCAACTTTTCATACACTTTCTTGTAAATACTGTGCATATATTTTAATAATTTTTTTATTAAATATACTTATTTTTCTTTAGCTAAAGTAATAAAAATGTATAATAATAAATGAATCTTTTCACTTGTTTTATAAATTAATATACTTTTATTAAAAGCAAAAAAATACATTTTTTATTTAGGAATTATTTTAAAAATGATACTGTCAATATACGAAAAATCCCTCTTTAGTACACATTTAAGTTGGCGCTGTCGTCACGCACGGAATGCATACAAGATTGTACCCTCTTAGGTAATTATTTCGACAAAATGTGATGACCAACGCAGG